TTAACACGCTGCAAGAGTTTTCATTTGGCAATAATAAAAAATAAGCTGTGAAGTGCAAATCGGTTTTTAGGCGAAATTCATCTACTGTTCCGTCCTGCCAAGCGACGCGACGGTGCGTTCCGACTAAGAAAAAATGTATTCAAATAATCTTATATCTTTCCTAAAATATATTCAAGAACTCAAATTCTAATTCGTTTATTCATGTCAATAAACACAATTGTGTTTACAAGGGTCGTGTGGTAGATGGTAAAAATTAAACGAGGGTCATAAAAATATTTTATGCCGTCACAATGAGAGGAAACAGTTAGGTAGTTCTTGCAAACTACAAGATTGAACTGCCGCGTCCAATGACTTTTGTATTGCCTTTTTTTATTGCCTTACTAGAAAACTCTGTTGGGTATATGATCGAATTTACTAGAACTTTACAGCTATTTTTATATCAATTTTTTTTGGTCTGAGTTTCTATCCAAGATTCTTGCGTTTGAGTCTTTGTTCCATCTTAGTGATAAGCGAGGTTGGACTAAGCTTAGAACGCGAATGTATTTGGACCACATAGACAGGCCGCTCGGTATTGTGCCTCACTATTTATTCGCTTACCCCAATGTATTTTGCGATTATAGAACTAAACTGCTCCACACTATTGTTGTCCTCATCATGAATTAAACTCACTGAATTCGTTATTAAAATTGTCGCATATGACCTTTTATTGTCCATTATCAACCTTGATAATAAATTCACTCAAGAACCATCACACCAACAAGTTCACAACACAACAATTCAACAACACAATATCGACGAACAGTAACAAGGGTCGAACAATACTGAATAATCACTAGCTGAGTACCAAAGTAGCAAAGGATTTACAGGCTAGATCGCTAATCGAAATCCAACTCTGTTATTATAAAAATTTACCTGGGTAGGCACCCGCAGTCATCCTTACCTCTTCTAAAGTAGCGCCGACCACCGTCTTAGACCAGCCCACAACCGTTTCCTTTTCACCCCCCCGTTACCTCAGCAGTTGGTGCTCATGATTATAGGAGCCCCGTTAAGATAAGTCAAACGTAACTTAAAGTCAAACATCTACAGAGGTTAGACGCCACCAGATCCTGGAGGCTCTTATGAGACTTACAGAGCCGGGTTGCCAGGGGAGGAGTTACTGCTCGGTTTCCTCTATTACGGGAAATGGAGCGAAGTGGTGCCCTAGGTTCGTGTGACTTCCTAGCTTCCTCTCGAGGCAATTGTTGGAGTATGGCAGTATCTAATGGCGATATGTGTAAAGGGAGTGTTACTTTAAAGTTGTCATGTTACTCGGTTGCCTCTGAATCGTATCAATCAATAAACTCGGCGTATCTGTCTAAGCAACAAATTATTAAGGTATCCATATAGGATGACCATGCTTTAGGAAACTACCGTTCCCCTGATCATGAAAACGGGCGTGACTTCCATGCGGTAGAAAGCTGCAGTTCCAACGAGCGAGGTTGTTCATGTACTGCTCTCGTAATAAAAGTGAAAAGGTGCAGAGTAGTACTTTGAATGTAGGTGGTATTTCTTTCATGACTATCATCATTATCATCGTCGTATCCTATAATAATTATGGTTAAAAACGACCTTGTCTTTTATATGTTATACAATCACGTGCTCAGTAAATACTTTGAGTGAGTGCAACAGAAATGCAACATGGGGTGTAGAGGAGGCCGTAGAAGCGCTTGATTAGCAATTATAAAACAAACAACAATACATCCTGAAATGCATGAGAATTTTTTCGATGTATGTTTAAGGAATACTAAGGAATCATGGCAACGTTGAAATTTTTGTTGTTTCTAATGTTTTTTGGGTCGAAAATAGCATATTTCTAATTTTCAAACATTGTATTGCTTATAGCGAAAACTGTCAGCTTTAGAGAAAAGTTCTTAAAAACCTTTTTGGTTCAACATGTCCCAAGAACTTTTGCCATTTATTTAAAAAAAAAAACTTTATTGACGCAAATTTGGGCCTATCTTCCAGGGCAGGTACACTTTTACAAAAAAAGCAAGCCACAAGTGCTGTCGTGTTTATTATTATTTTTTTGGGTCTTTGTGCGTGTCACCTTCACAGCAGTTTCGTGAAGTCCATCCTGAGGCACACCAAAGACGGCATCGCGGTCCCCAGAATGGTGAAATTTTAGGTTCCTAGTTATATTGAGAATTATAAGATTATATAACAATACTGTGGATACTAGACAGGATAAAATAAAATAAAATTTCAATTGACGCATACTGAAAAAGCCTGTCACAGTAGCCATAAATCGGTTCGATAGGGTTTGCTTATTGGCCAACTGAATCGTGATGTGTCTTCAAATTCCTCTTTCGCAGAATGATCTATATTTGGCATCCTGGACTTCTTAATAAAAAAATGCATATGCCTCAGATATTCACGAAGAGTGGAATCGGAGCTTGGAGGATTCAATTTAAGAGGATTTCCAGGCAAAACATTCTTATAGGAATGAATAACGCCTGCAGACATGTTGGGATTTCTGATTTTCCATCAAACCATTTAATATTTTGCTGAGTTCAAGGAGTGAACTGTCTAAGGGAAGTCATAACATACATCAAACTACATTCCGTTGTATCCAACATGAGAAGACGAGAATTGGGCACAAAAAAAACATTAATTGGTGTCGTGAAAAATCAGCAGCAGCAATAGTCTGGAAATTAAGCAGATTTGGAATTTTCATAAGATTAGTTTAGCTTATCTCGAAAATATCTAGCACACAGTCGACACGTAAGCCAGAAATACCATATTTGAGTTTCACGGAAACATGTTCACTTGGGCTCATTCAATTAACAACTTAAAAGCATGTTGAGTTGTGATGTTATGACGTGCAAAGCTACATTAATGAATGAAAGAGAGCGACACGGAATTATTTTTAAATTTCCATGGAATGAAAACATAAAACGTAATTAGTAGGTAGAAGCTTAACGTCAGAATGGTGAAATTAATTTTGAGGTAGTGCATAGTAAAAGATTCACACAACTCGAATGGGTATGACGTGAATTTCGTGTCAAAACATGCCGTGATAATTATAATGAAGGTGGATGGATGTTTAAAATTAGTTTAAACAAACTGTTCTGTATAAGCCTTTCTTTTTAAACGCGAGAAGTCACAAAGTTCGTTAACTTTAAGATGGGTGTCTATCCACATCCAAGGTTGACTAAAAACATGAAAAATTTAGCGTGTATTTACCAATGCTTAACTTCCTATATCAGACGCGGGTAGATAGTTACACTAGAGGATGATCGCACTTATTCCATGAGCTTTATATGAGAAGTAATGATATCAACAAAAGTCGAACAATCGTTGAAGCGGAAACATGTTCCTTTTTGTAACACATATAATCTGGTTTCCTGATATCAATATGCCAGTAGATGTTGCTTCTCTGATACCCCCTTCCCCTCGTTGTAGTCCTAATGGCCGATAAGACTGCTGCTTTGATCATAGGGTGTCAGAGTATCTGGTATGTAGAAAACAGCCTTCCCATATCTGCTAACTCCAGGCATCTCAGAAATTGGATCAATAAAAAGACCGCCTACGCGGCTGCTCTAATGGAAAAGAATCCACACATACAACAACAAACCGGCACTCAAATTTGAAGAAGAATGAAAGGCGGTCGAAAGTAAAGGGTGTCTCATAAATATTTTCTTATTTTATGCCATAAATAAAAATACTTAGAATATTACAAAGATAAATTTATTACCAAACGAAAGCCTAAACATTAATTTTATTTATGGAAAAGAGTATCGGATAAATGAGCACCGTTCATGTTTTCACACTCTCTTAATCTCGAACTGAAGTTTTCGATCACTCTCCGAAGCATTGCTCGAGGAATGGCGTTTATTTCATCTGTTATTTTTTGCTTCAACTCTCTCAAATCTTGTGGCGGTGGGGTGTATACCTTACTCTTCAGGTATCCCCATAAGAAAAAATCTGCTGGTGTCAAATCGGGACTTCTCGGTGGCCAGTTAATGTCTCCTCTGCGACTGATGACCCTCTCTGGGAATAACTGATGAAGAGCATCCAAGGATTCATTCGTGACATGAGAAGTCGCTCCATCTTGCTGGAAAAACGTGTTTCTATTGTAGCCACCATGGTTCTGTATAGCTGGAGTTAAAATAGTCCTAATCATGTGGCAGTAGCGCTCAGATGTTACAGTTTGAGCTTGGCCACGATTGTCTTCAAAAAAATACGGGCCAATGATTCCTTGCCCTGACATAGCAGCCCAGACGATAACTTTAGGCGAGTGTAATGGCGTCTCATGAAGATTTTGCGGGTTCTGCTCGGCCCAATATGGGCAGTTTTGTTTATTAACATGCCCGTTAATGTGAAAATTCGATTCATCAGAAAACCATATGTTATTGTAACCGTTAAAATGCTCTCTCATTGTTCTACAGAACTCTAATCGATTAGCGGGATCTTGTGGTTTTAATTGTTGTGTAACAACAATCTTGTATGGGTGAAAATGCAAATCCTTGCGAATAATGCGATGAACAGTTGACTTATGCAAAGTTAGAGACGCTCCACGCAGTCTTAATGATTGCCGGGGATCCTCGTTAACGGACTGGCGCACACGTTCAATATTTTCGTTCGATCTTGCTGACCTTGGCCGTCCAGGCGGTTTACTAATACACGTGTTTCCAGTGCTCTCGAACTTTCTTTCCCAATATTTAATTAAATTTGCGCTTGGGACATCTCTCATTCTTGCTATGTTATAATGATTTCTGTACAAACGACGTACAAGCACATAAGAATCCTTGTTTTTATAGAACTCGCGAACACAAAAAGCACGTTGCGGCCCTGTAAAACGCTCCATTGCAACTAAAATTTAACAATGTTGCCAAACGTTTGTCAACTGTCTCGTTTCTCCGGAGCATGCGTATTCCGCCAGAGGACTGATCTAAAAACGAAAATATTTCTGAGACACCCTTTATTAGTTGTTTTATAGACTATGACTAGAGAGGACTTACCCATAGGCTGTTTCTTGATGATAATATAATACTGTCCACCTCTGGAGAAGTATCCACAGGGTATCTTGACAATTGTTGCGTTGCTGTTAAGAGCCGCTGCCTCCGGAAAGATGGGCATGGTGAGCAAAGCCTGAGCCAGGTTGCCTTCCAACCTGGATAGCTGCAGCATGAGAGGTGGAAAGGACCTGGAGGTGATCTGCACGTGGAAGTTGCCACTAAGCGCCACGTGCGACGGAGCCATTGATACGCCTATGCCTGGAATACCGCCGCCTGCAACAGCAAAGAATGGCGTTATATATCATCAGTTCATGAAAGATTATGTTCGGCCTTTTACCATTCCGAGTAAAAGTCAGCTACGAAAATGTATGACAAAAAAATTAATCCACTTTCCCCTGAGAGAAATTTCGGTGGGCGCACATGGTCGTCGCTTTGACGCATACCCATAGCAGCACGAAAACGACTGCGACACACGATAATCGAACAGCAACTGTTGGAAATTATTTATTATTGTTTATTCATTTTTAAGGGTAAACATACGAGGTAATTTAAGATGAGTGAAGCTTGTCTAATAGGTGTGTCGAGTTACCGGGGTTGGATGCGTATAGATATACCAACGTCAAAAAATTGAGACATACCTTCTCCCACCTTCAGAAACATCAAAAAACAAAGTTTCGGCGTTCAGTTTTTTTTGTTTGGCCTTTTTCCCCACAACCACTGGACCGATTTTCAAAAACTAGATATATAAGGCTTTTTGACCTTGGCATAGTGTTAACCCTGTCTGAAAATTTCATCCAAATCCATTTTACAAGTTATAGGCGTACCAAGGATTAGCGAACTTGGTAGACCGACAAACAGACCAACGGAAATGAGTAACATGGTTTTTCGTGATGTGCATGTCGTATAACATCCTAAGAACATAATATCTCACTTTCCATATATTTTGCGACTACAATACTTCCTCGCCAGCAGGCATGGGAAGTAAAAAGGTACGGTAAAAGAATTTTAGCAGTATTTTAAAATTCGGATATGAATTCGCATAAAGCACTACTTATAGTCAATTTACTTGAAACCGTTTTTGAACTTCACCTGCTCTCATATGCGCTAACTTGGTAAGGCTATAAAGCAGTTGAACATAAACATAAATCAAAACGAATAGTATCTTTGAAGTGCTTCATGTTACCTATATGTTAGATCAAAGGGTAATGTGAAAGTAAAATGTCCAAATATGGAAAAAGTTGTTTCAACTTTTGTCGTCAGATTTATCTTTTCATTTTGAAATCGTTCATATTATAATATGTATATAAGATTGAATTAGTGCTAGTGAAAAAATAACATTTCAGATATAATAATTATAATAATAACAATAATAATAAGAGTAATAATAATGTTTATTTACTCTTAAAGCACAATACAAAGAATGAGTAAATAAATATGAAGTATCGGCCCATAGGAGGCATTGCCTGTACATGGACCATAGATGTTGCAACTCTATTACTGAAATATGAAAAAAGATATAATCAACGAATTATTTGATCACATTTACTATTAATTTGTATACGTCTGGCGTTGCCAAAGAGAAAATCTATTTTTTTTAACTTTTTCGTGAACTTATTCACACAGCGTAGATCCTTGATATCGTCAGATAATTGTAATTAATTTTGGACATACTCCTAAATAGTGGTATATGTTATCACCAGTATTATACAGCGAGTCATCAAAGGTAGCGTAAATGGTAACAGTAGCTTGATAATACTTGTCTAATCTTTTTATAATGAGGAACTTAAGGGGAATGAGAGAGACGTTACAAGGACTCTATAGCACGTGCCATTAACACATTGTGGCCCCGCCTTAGAGTGCCGCCGGGTGGTACCTCCACGTTCATCAGTCCGGGACCGCCTACTATCTACGGATCTGTTGGGGTGGGATTCGAACCTGCGCAGTTTATGGCGACCAGGTTAGTAGACTGGATCGTCAGATTCGACCTGTCCCCCGATTTGTCAAGAAACACAAATCAATGTATCCTTACCAGGTAACACCAAGCCGGCACTGCCCTTTATACTACCTATGACGATCCAGCTGAAAAAATGAAGGTTCTTATTATTTTTTAGCAATACTTATATCACACCGACATAATGATTAAAATAGCATTTCTAGCTTCAATTGAGCAAGCAACTGAAAAGTCCCATTATTCATCAAAGCAACCTCTGTTGGTCTCGATAACAATCCTAAACGCAGGTCGAATGTTTCATTAAGATGCGTGACTATACCTACTGTTCTTACCAGCTGAGCTACTTCGTCGGCTACAATTTCACCTTCAACTGGTTTATTCTTAAAACGAGGGTGTAGAATAACTGAGAAAAAACGGGCATGGTTCTCTAACTCTATCCTGGAACGATGAAATAGAACTCTTGATTTCATAGTAATGTTAGAATGTTAGGTGTTTTATCGTAATTGAATTGGAAGATTTTGATGCTTTTTAATATGAATAGCGTATCCATAAATTCATAATTCATTCACGCAAAATCTACTGCTTTGATGGACTTTGCAACGGAAGAATATTCTTAAGGATAAACGGTCTCTATCATCTACGTCGTTAAACAGCTCGTGAAATTCGACATTAATCATGTTAGAACGCTGAATATTTTATCATTATTGAATTGAAAGACTGAGTTATTCATTTTAATATTAATAACGCCTCCATATATGTATATGCTCTAGCTACGTCAGGTCTACTGTTTTTAGGTAGAGTATTCCATTTTCATCCAATCATGCCCATCCCGTCTCAAGCATTGACGGATCCAAAATTGACCGTCGAAGTCCTTCAAAAAACTAAAGACCAAATAAAGTGACTTCTCGGGGATTACAAGAAAATCTGCGAACTCCTCGAAGCGTGTTTATTTAAAATCAGCTTTTCTAACAATCCGTTGGCCAAAATTGCTGCCTCATGAGAAATCCTGGTTTTCCGACTGTCAAGAGCATTCCTATGCAAACTTATACAATATTTTCATAGCCTCAGTTTTACTGTAACTTTATATTCTCTGCTCAATTAAAGAATGGAGGAAGAAAATGTCAGTGTCTGAGCCCCTCGTTAGATATGTGCATCAACCCGGGGACACAGACAGCTACGTTTTAACGAAATGTAAACTTGTTTCTTCAAAACAGCAATTTTTAACATTGCCCATGCCGGCATTAAAAAGTCCCGCTTTGCATATTCATCTCCAGTCTCTTCGCAAAGTTAGACAGTGCCGTTACGCAGGCAAAAAGGTGCTGGAATGAAATAATGGAATGGGAGCCAAAATTTCTGGGTCTTTGGTAAATATTTTTTAAAAGACCGGTCGAAAATGGCAGTTTTATCGCTCTAAAAAACAGGGCAAAGCGATTGCCCCAGGAAGATCGAGTTCACCATGAATCGGACGGCGTGCAAAAGTAAATAAACTTATTCGTTTTACCTTCTCCAATAATCGTCAACTGGCTATAGAATAACCTTAGTGCTTATCTGAATACCAGACAGACAAATGTGTCTTTTCAACAACAAACATAGGTGTTTTGTCTGTAATTACATTTTTGTACCATCTTAACGAACAGCTTTTTAAAATAAATGTATATTTCATTAATACAAATGAACGGCAGGAAACAAAACTTTCAAATAAGTGATTCCGGGTAAAGCGGATTAAGCAAAGTGGATACCGTATTCGCCAGAAACCTTATTTTCGTAATTAGTGAACGTAAGATAGGTATTTTTGTGCTGTAGCATATAGGACGAAAACAAGTCTAGGATCTTGGTAGTATTTCGAAATGACCCATTCAAGCATCCGCCATCGACTAGGACATGCAGAAACTACATAAGTCACTTGAAAGCAGAAAAAGCATTATGGTAAAATGTGACTTAAGTAGGTTTGATTCATGTTATATGTGCAAAGGGACTGCCGAACTTCGACCTACCAGTCTAACCGCGTCAAACTTCGTACATCCAGAGCTGGCCGATACGACCGGTCCTCTGTCCACAGGAAATCGAGATTGCGGAACAATCTACCGGATGAGGCTTTTACCAGCTCTATTAATTTTAGGCAGTCCAAAAATCAGATTTACCTAGTTTTGTTATGCTCCTCATAGCAGCCCGGTCCCTGGTATTTAGACACCTGCATATTATTCAAAAGCTCTGTGGTACCACCTAAGAAGCAACACTCTTCGCACTACTGCTCTGACGCTTGTTTTCTCGGATCCCGAATACTGTGCCCCAGTCTGGTTAAACAACCCACACGTTGAAAAGGTAGATACTGTACAACACAACACCATGAGGATGATTGTTGAAGCAATCAAAACCAGTCCTTTAGAATGGCTTCCAATATTAAGCAATACCCAACCGCCACATCTGCTTCGGGTGGATGCGTTTGCACGCGAATACAAAAAGATTATGGATAACAGAAGTCTACAGATCCACCAAAATATTGAAGCGGCATATACTAATCTACTTCGCTCTCGAAAACCACCAACGAGAACAGCGATAACCAATGCAGAAGAGGCGTTCAGCGTCACCAACCCATGGTCTGAAGAATGGACTGAACGGCAAAACAATTGCATGCCGTGTATTACCCACAAACGTCATGTCAGATGCATATACTCCCTGCATAAGTGAGATTTACAGCCATCTCCTCAGTGTGACTGCGGTCAGAACCAAACCATTGATCACATTAGTCAGGAGTGCACCAAAATAGCCTATAATGGTAAACCTGACGACTTCCTGTTCGCTTCACCAGAGTCGATATATTATATTAATGTATAGTCTTAATGTCTACTTGAAACTATTCGAAGTGTTTTATATCAGCGTTTTCTGTCAATCATTCTGTGTTTTTTTAATTTTTTTTTATACTCGAATCACCACGAAGGTCTAAGGCCTAAACACCCATGGGGTAGCGTGGGGCTATCGAGAGATACAAGGGAAAGGGAGAACGCCACACGGACTCTGGCGAGAGAACACGTGTGCATGCAACATGCACACATTCTGGCCCTGCCCACGAGATCCGCGGGGTGGCCCCTTTGCGTTTAACACTCAGAGACCGTCTACCACCTACGGATAATCACATATAAAAATATTTCGTTTTGTCCTATTTCACAATGTTGCATCACACTTACTCAACATTGATAACAACTGCCTCCTTATGTTGTTGGGAGTAGAGTCTAAAGCAGTTGTCCCCAACCCGTCGATCGCGAGCTACTGGTAGCTCGCAAAGGCAATTCTGGTGGCTCGTAACACATTTTAAAAAGGTGTAAAAATCATAAAAGCATTCGTAAGTTTTGTAAATTCTTATGATAAACACAAGCAGCGGAAACACTGCGGTGAGCGATCTGTTCGAGAACGATCTCGATTACTTTGAACGGAATAAATATGCAAGGCGAGGCAACAGTGCGCTCAGTTTAAAACTGAACGGCACCAAGTCCAGCGGTTGGGTTGGAATTGGCCTGTAATTAAAAACATTATGAACAGTAGTAAGAAGATGAAGATATACCATTTCCATTCGGAATGGGAATAACAATATTTCTTTACAGAAGTTAAAGGTAAAAATGTATATTTGTTATGTAACACATCGGTTTCCGTTGCTAAAGAATGGAATATTGAGAGGCACTATAAAATTGTACATTCAAATTTCAACTAAAAAATTAGTTAACTGGACAACAGACAATGTTTTGGAAAACAATCGACAAAAGTGAGGCTGCAACTGAAGCACCATACCGAGTGTCCCAGATAATTACACAAAAAAATAAACCTTGTGAAGACGGGGAAATGATAAAACAGGCGCTTTTAGGAGCTGCAAATTCATTATTATTTGCCAACTTTAGAAATAAAGACGAGATAGTGTATGCTATAAAATCTATGCAGCTTTCTGCTAATATAGTGACGAGACGAGTAGAAGTAATAAGCAATGATATAGTTTTCCAGTTAAGAATTGACTTTGATAACTGTGCTTATTTTTCACTGCATCTGGATGAGTCCACAAATGTCGTTGACACCTCTCAGATGGCAGTGTTCGTCAGGATGGTTTTTAGTGATTTTACGATTAAGGAAGATCTTTTGAAGTTTATTCCACAAAAACGACAGACTACTGAGCATGACTTGTTCTCTTTTTTTAGAAATATCATTTCTTCTGAGAGAATGCCAATATCGAAAATAGTAGGCTTGACAAGCCATGGCGCTCCAGCTATGGTGGGTCGTGATAAGTGTCTCGTGGGGTTATGTCGTAAAGCTGAAAGTTTTCCGCAATTTCTCTGTTAGCACTGCATTATCCATCAGCAAGCATGATGTGGACATTTTCTAAAACTAAACAACGTTATGAAATTTTAAGTAAAAATTGTGAACCAGATAGCTCAAGCATTACAAAGAAGATTGGCCGATGAAGTTAACCGTTAATACGGGAACTACTTCTTCACTCTGAAGTCCGATGGTTGAGTAGAGGACGAGTGCTAAAACGTTTTAATGATACCATATCTGCCATAGTTCCATTTTTCAAACAACGGGATGAACCGATTCCGGAAGTGGAAAATTCAATCTGGCTTGGAGACTTTGGTTTTCGTGTGGATATTACAGAAAAATTAAATGAACTTAATTTGCAGCTTCATGGGAGAGACAAAAAACTAGCAGAAATGATTTCTGATTTTAAAGCGTTTATCAAAATGCTTGAGTTATGGGAACAAAATTTAATCGATGGCGATAAAAGGCATTTTCCTGTTCTTTCAGAAAAGACATCTCAAAGTCCGTTAGAACCATATGACAGTAAATATCATCTTATCATATCTAACTTGAAGGATGAAGTTCAAGAATTGTTTCAAGGATTCCAACGAAATTGCTATATTGCTGCAATTTGTTGTTTCACCCTTCATGGAAATTGATATCCAACAGTTTGCAACTTCTGTTACGCAGAACTATAGCAAAGACATCGCTGCAACAGAAATGGAACTGATTGCATTTCAAAATGGTTTAGCTTTAAAATCATTACTCTCAAATACGAAATGTATCTGGCCTTCAGTAAGTAAAGATAAATATTCAATTTTATGTCATGTTGGCCTGAAAGTGCAAGTGTTATATAGTTCAACCCAATTGTACGAATCTTCTTTTTCAAATATGAAGTTTATCACAAACAAATACCGTAGTCGACTTACAGATGAACATGTGGATAATTGTATTCGAATGGCGGTATCAAATTATATTCCGAACATTAAAAAAATGTCAGTGAGTCTGAGTGTCAGGCTTCTCACTGAAGACGCAGCTTTTATCTGGACATGGTGCTGTTTAAAATAGTATAATACCTTTATTAAATCGGATGTGAGGAAAGATTATGTTTATTTTTCAAACACATACGAATGGTAGCAACAGATAAGACACTCTTGAAGTCTGTTCCGTTTCAACGTCGTGTTAGAACGAAGTTTCTCCTAAGTCCAACTCATCCAGCCATGGAATATCACTGTTACTACAACTTCAGTTTCTTCAAACAACAGGGGACCAATAATACCAGGTTAGATTAAATTGCATGTCGTACTGCGACATTAGATGAAAGTAATGGCCTTTGATGCATTTCTAAAGGATTGGCGTCAGCCCAGATAGCGCATATTCTATTTGTTGACGGATACACACAAATGAAAATTGGCTTCGTAACTAAAAAAATAAATAAAAAAACAAATATCGAGAACATGCTCACGTTCAGAAAGCTTCTGCACAATTCTCTTCTTGTTAGGATGGGAATGCAGAATATCAAGAAGAATTCTCCTTACAGAACGATCGGAGAGTCCAAGACAGGCGCATGTTGGCGTGCAGACCGCCGTGGTCGCAGTATTGAAGGTCCCACTGTCTCAATGTCACCTAATGGCCCACGTAACAATTGATTTTCGGTCCAGCACAGAGGCGAACGGAGTTAGACTAAGGCGATTGTCACCCCATTAAAAGGTTTTGTCTTTAATTCTAGTGCAAATAGCCTTGCTGCTCTCTCTACTTCGCAACGCGCGTCAAACACGTTTCTTGGATGGCAATGCATTTATTTACGCTGTTAACAGAAAGAGCTACTTATTTCAGTGAAAACATGTTTCCACTATGTAAGAAAAATTTACGGACTTCCTCGCACTAAGAAACTGCATTGCACCTATACCTTTCATCAGATTAAACAGTTTTAGGATAGAAATTACAAAATTGCTGAATGTGTCGCCACTGGTTCTAGTCGAAGAGAACGTCTGAGCAGCGTCTGTCTTTCATAAAAATGCGCATAAAATAATTGCTGACATTTATACAACTACTCCCTTGCATCTGTATTCTGCTGGGATCAACAGGATACTGGAAAATGCTGTTCGCACGCAAATTTGTTCCGTGGTTAGATACGAGTACCGTGAGAAAATTCGATTTTAAGCAGAATGCCTACAGTATTTAAAATGTTATGGATAGTTCAACTTAAGCTTATTACCCGGATTATACCGAATCAGTGTCAACTATGAATGTTTCCTACATATCTGATCAGGTGGTGACCACTGAATTGTACCTTCTGTACAGAGTTTCCACAAAATGTATTAATGATTGTCTGGTTCTTATATTATTTGTGGTTTTGATGCTTAATGATAATAATGAACTTATTACAAATATGTTCTGGTTATACGTTTATTTAGGTTAGGACGAGAAACTATATCGATAACAGGAAGCATGGAATACTTACATAGTTATCTAAATAAATGTAAACGACGTATGTAATTTTTTTTGCCGTAAATATAATGTCGTAAGTTAAACGAAACCACAAGTACTAAAAACGGGATGCCATCTTGTCATTTCCTGCTACCAGCCACACGGGAACGAGACGTCTACTTTGAAAACTTTTTCGGTAAGAATGCAAACATTGATAATCATTTACTATGATACGTAAAATGTTCATTGCAAATATTTGAACTGTTATGTGTCCTTATTTATTTACAATTAAATTTTGATTTTGTGAATATATTTGGAATTAAAAATGCGATGTGGAGTTTTATGTTAGGATGTCATGTTGTTAATTTGGAATACCGAAAGTGAACATAATTTGGAATACTTATGGACAGGTATTAAGTCCTTTGTGTTTTTTTGAAATGCCAACATCTCACAAATCCAATACAAGCGAGAAGATGGGAAAAGGAGGAAATGTGTGCTTAATGTGCGAATTGTGGGTTCACGCTACATGTAGTGGTTATGAATCCGGTGTGTATATCTAGGGTTATTGGAAGAACAGTAAGTAAGAACACTAAAGTATAAGTTCAGACTGAATACTGATTTGTGATTTTTTTGACTGATAACTTAATAGCTCGCTTAATAGTTAACAATTATAAGCTATTTTGTTGAACAGGTTAATTACCAAAGACTATAAAACATTGAGAAATTTATTATTTTCTAGGAAAAGGTGTACACAATTGTCCAAAAAGTCGATTATAATTTGTAATACTATATTCCGAATTGCCTGCACCCTGAGTAAATTTACGCGTTTGGAGTTTTTTATTCTGATAAATATGTTGATTCCTGGTTTTTGTTTTGTTTGAATGCTCATATCATTAAAATTTAATAATTTTCCAAAATGTAGTGCATTCTTTTTATTTTGCTATCCCGTTTATCTTGCAATTTATTTCCAAACCAAAATTCCAAATATGCTGCAGTTTCTCTAAGTAAGCGGTAGTTGTGTATTGTGGCTACAATTGGCATTCGATCATCGTACAATACGTTATTAATAGCTGCTTTAATTTGTTTATTATGTCTAGAGTAAGAGAACAAGAAAATGTTCATCATCTTAGGGAGTTTGATAGGGTGGGAATAGTGGGCTGGTGTGAGTCTGGTTGGTCCTTTAGAGAAATAGCCAGCATGTTGCACAAAAGTCTAAAAGCGGTGGTGTTTTTTTGTGGGTCATGGAATCAGGAAGGTTATACCTGTACATGAGGAGTTAGAGGCTCGTCAGAAGAATGACCCCACACCGAAATTCCCGTCTTAGGCTTTTTGCTTTATAGGACCGCTTCTCGTCCACAAGTTCAATTGCGAACATATGGTATGGAGAAGATGTTAAAGCATACTAAAATGCGAACTGTTTGTCTCCGGATCAACAGTTTTGTTACAGAGAACGGCTGAACTGAGACCTGGAATGGAATATTATTGTCTTGGTGACAAGGCAGCGATGTGAAAGACTATATTCTCAATTTTTTGGAAACTCAAGTGCAACAGACTGTTGGAATTATGGTGTCGGTCGCTGTTGCTTCATCAGAGACAACATGACCGACGTTTATATATACGGACACTCACCAACTCACTTTGGCAACAATATAATGCACTACCACACATAGCCAGAATTACGTTGGACCATTTTGAAAACGATCAAGTGTATTTGTTGCCTTGGCCCCCAGATTTCCCGATCTATCACCCCTTGAACATGTCTGGAGCATTATAGGTATAATAATACTCCGTTTACCTTACCATCCACAGATTTCAGCGACACTTCGGCACAAGGTACAAGTATCCTGGGATAAGGTACCTCTAATGGAAATCGATCACCTAAATAGGAATACGCCCAGACATATTTCTGAGTGCATAAGATATGCTGGAGGCCCAACTCATTAATTATTACATTCCTTTCAACGGTTGGATTTTTAATTTTGATCAATTACTTACCCACCCGGAAAAGACATGTATACAAAAATATACTAAGTGACATATAAATCCGAACACCCAGTTTAAATAGTTTTATTTTCATAAAAGTTGGTGAATGTATTTATCTTACTGTAAATAACAAGTGAAAAAATTTTCAGCCTTATCAGTTGGACATTCCGGTTTTTATACTGCTTTTTTTAATTCACTAACGCTCTAAAAATGAATATTTCAGCCGCAGTAAAGAATCAACGTTGGCGGATTTTGGTTCTTGACATCCTTTACGATCGGTTACGATGCCTAGAGTACGGAGACCTGTACGATTTCTTCAACTTAGTGAGTTTGATAGGGGCCGTATAGTGGGACTTCGGGAAGCTGGACTCTCTTTTCGGGCCATTGCAGTTAGAGTGCAAAGAAGTGTAGACACTGAGGTTAGGTGTTGTCAGGCATGGCTTCGCGAAGACCGTACTCAAAGAGCAAGGGGCACTGGACGCCGCTGTAGAACAACAGACCGTGAAGATCGCCGCCTAAGGTTATTGGCCTTAAGGGACCGTTTCTCCACTACCAGGTCCATTGCAAATGAATGGTTTGCAGAACACGGAAGACCTATTGGCATGCGAAGTGTTTACCGACGAATGAGAAGTTTTGGCTTGTTTCCATACCGGCCACACTGGGTCCTCCCTTTAACTCGAGAACACCGACGTAATCGCCTTGAGTGGTGCAGACAACGGTCACTGTGGGATCAGGAATGGAACAGTATTGTCTTTAGTGACGAGTCTCGATTTTATTTAGGCATGCACGATGGTCGTGCCAGGGTTAGAAGGCGACGTGGTGAAAGGAGGAATCCACAGTTTTTTGTTGAAAGACATGTTCATCACACTGTTGGAGTTATGGTTTGGGGTGCTACAGCTTATGGTTCCAGGTCACCTTTAATCTTCATCAGAGGTAACATGAACGCGCAGCGTTATATCCACGAAGTTCTAGAACTCCATCTTTTACCCTATCTTGATACCCTGGCAGATCCAACTTTCCAACAAGATAATGCCCGACCACATGTTGCAAGAGTCACAATAGACTTCTTTCAACATAATGATGTCACATTGTTACCATGGCCACCAAGATCTCCCGACTTATCCCCAATT